GGTAACTTGAGCTGCAATGCATAACATGTAGTTTGCAGGCTCGAAGAAACTTGAATAACAATTACATTGGGAAGTCTACCCATTTATAAAATAACCGACACGAAAGTTGCTCCAGCTACGTCTCAATACATTTTGTCCTCGGATTTACGCAGCAAAAATAGTGGGTACAGGAAAAGAGCAATACATGGGGAAGGAGGTAATTTGGGTTGGAACATAAGTATTGCACCAAAATTTCTAGAATTTCGTAACCTCCTTCAGGTCAGATGAATCCGTTTGAACTGATGAATTTTTACTTTCGTTTTCATATTGTTTGTAGTAAAATCTCTTATATGTACGATAAATACTGCATAATTCTTATGCAATGAAAAAAAATACTTAACGGATTGAAACGCTGCTCAAGGATTTTCAGCTGAATTTCTTTTTTTTAGTAAGACTTGTTTAACCTAGTAAAAACGGAGAGGGAAAAATCAAGCAAACTGTAAAACGAGGTATAAGTTTTCTTAGCTTTACAGTCATAAGAACAATTTTTTAGATGAAAGTGAGGTGCAGATTCTGTTTGATGATACATATGTACAAAATCCAAAAAAGATTAGCTCATACCGTAACCCCAAAAATTTATGTGGCATTAATGTTAGAGTCAATATGTATAGTACGGCGATAGGTTAGTTAGATTCGGATAACATTGGCATTTGTTTTTTTTTCTGAACACCTCTAAAATCACATCCTTATTAGGTGGTGCTGAATGGATTCTCTCGAGCGTTAAATGCTATTAGTTCAAAAAAAAAAAACTTCTGTGGCGTGTTAATGACTTCAACAAACACCAGATTGTTACAATTCTTTTCGTGACAACAACGTCATGGGGAAAGAAAAGAAGAGTTTGAACATGAAATTTATTCTTATATATAGTCAGAGTATAGGAAGTGTTGGATGCGAAACTCCAAATTTTTAGTCTTTAAAAAGGAAATGTGCAGTCTTGCTCTTCAGCAGTTATTTTGTGCAGTCGCACCTTTGAATTTGCATAGAAGATAGACTATCATCACAAAAAACAGCAAACAAGAAAAACTTGATGCAAGATAACAAAAAGAAAATAAGATTTCGAGATCATTGGCTTGTCAGTAGAAATTTGAAAAAAAACAGTGCAATACTCAAAGTGGGTGCCGGATTGAGGAGAAGTGTAGGCTTTTGCTAATCATGTGAAGCACAACTAAGGTGGAAGATATTCTCTTCACAAATTACTAATAATTATTCATTAAAGACGACTTCTTCCTTACAAGCATTCTGTACATTTGCTTACAGAATTTATCTGTCATGCTAGTAAATAAAAATATGGAAAAGTACACACACCACGCATCAAAGTGATGCTAGTGGAGCTAGTGTTCTAAGCGAAAATGCTTGACAATGATGTCGATAATGTTGTGAGGTAGCAATAACAATTTTTGTTCTGAACACGTTGGCTATACAATGTGGCCAACGCACTAAACAGCATTCGAAGCTTTCACAATTGACGAGTTTTGACGGAAGCTTGTGTTATTATTCTCCTCTGATGAGAACAATGACCAACGTGAGCGCTGGATGCGAAATGAACTTTCAGGGGCTCTTCAAAGCACAGTTAGGAAGGAGTGGTTAAGAGGAACGAAGAGAATAAAGTTTTTGATTGACTAGTCAAACTTTCCTTCATTTACTCAATCGGCAGACAATGGTATGCTTCTCCTTCAAAAAGTTCTATAAATCCTCTCAAATGAAGCAAATTTTTACGAAGAAATTATCAGCTTCAAGGTAACGAAGATTTTTTTAGAGCATTGTATTGGACTATCAAGGTTCAGCAGAAGATACGTAGTTTCAAGTCTAGCATTGATAGACTTGAAACTACGACTTGAGACTCGACATCGAGTCTTTATATTTCTAGATAAAAATTTTTTTTAATAAGCATAACATGTAGTAGCATTGAAGGTCAATGGGAAATCAAAATTAACATTTGCAAGTGCAGCAAAAATAACTACAAACACTTCGTTTTGCCTATCGAAAATACACATTTCGTTGCCTTCTAATTCTGGACTTTCCAAAATTTCATAACCGGTTTGGCTTAATCTAAGAGACCTGTTTCACTGAAGAAAATCGTTTCAAAAATTGTCGCATTTATGTTAAAAACCTGGATAGAATCGAATATTCAACTTTTGAACTAGGAATAGAAATGGGAACGTTGCAGGGTTTTGCTGTCAAGTAATGACATCTTTTTCAGTAATAGTAAGCTAAGATCTACTACTTCAAAAAAAAATTTCTTTGAGAAATTTCTCTCCAGGGAACAGAGCTCTGAGGTACTTTTGTGTCAGATCAGGCTGCGATGAGCATTAGCAACATTGTCAGAAAATTATCACTAAAGGCTACAAATGCATAACAGTTTGAGGATATTTCAGGTATTTCAACTGTCTTCAAATAATCAAAATCATTGTGCTATTCTGCATAAAAATAGGCTGATAATAACTATAAGCACTTGATAGTGCGGTAACAAAAACGAAAACTACAGTTAAAGAAAAAACGTTATTTTGCGGAAACTTGATATTGAAATGGTCCATAATTTTGAATCATATATGATATTTGCATTTTTCAACTTACGTTTTTGTTCTCTCTGACATCGCAGAGATTGCATGAGGCAACCTTTTTAATTTATTCAGTAATTGACTTTTTATTAATTGATCAGTCTGAAAGGTTTAAAAAGGATTTTAGTCATTTTTATTCTACGAAAAGGTACTACAGATTACAGATTTTCACGCTTCATATAAACCTTGGGAAACATGAAACTATCTCTTATCAGAATATTTTGAGCAACTTATTTGATCCATTGAGAATATAGTAGCGTACGGGACAGCCAAAAATAATTTTTTCAACTGAACAACGATCACTAATGAAAACAAAGTAATTCCTAGAAAACTGCAATATTTCCTGTTTCAGCAGCAACCCTTATAGACTAAATAAGTGCGTCTCTCGATTCGTCTTTGTTGAAAACTGGTTTTACAACCAAGACGGTTCCAAAAAGTTTTGATCAATATTAGACGTTTTCTATAATATATAACTAACGTTCTAAACAATCACTCCTTTGCAAAACTTGTAAACGAGAAATTTCTAGATGTCGGAAGAAAAACTCGCAAACTTATATTCACAGATATAATCGATCAGCACGAGTTCTTCTCTAATGTAGTTAGTAAATCGTAGAAAACAATCAAATATAAAATTGAATTTTGTTGGCCCTTAAAGCGACAAAAATAATCAGAGAATTACTATTTGACTGTTCTCAAGTATCAGCTTGCATTCACATGATATGCCAGTATGGCTTTATGTTTCAAATTCTTTGTCTAAACCTATCCAGAGAGGCCAAATCATTAGAGTCAAAAAACTATAAGATTTTTGGGTCAAGGCTAGTTATTATCCCAAAAGAAGTGACTAACACACATCCTCTGTTTATAAAAAAAATTGACCTAGCTTGTTTTGTTCATGAGGAGTAAAGAACAATGTTTCATGCGAAATGAATATATATGCAAAGTAAGGTTCTTTCACAGCTATAATATTTTTGAATTCATCAATCCATTCTAACAGCTAATCAGCTTTGAAACTTTATGAATCTAATTAGAACGCTTTTGAATGGTGGAAAAAATTCAGCGTTTCCATGTTAACGAATATTCATATTCGTTCAAAAGAACAGGTAATATCGAGTTATGTAATTGAGTGAAACGTCCAAAAAACGCAGGCAAACAATTTATGCTTATTTTTTATTTTATTTTTTATTTTGTATAATTTTTATTTTTTCTCGTTTTTTCTTTTATTTTTTGCTTTATTGAATGGCTCAGTCTAGTGTTCATGGTTTGACATCGTAACATCATGAAAACTTGAGGTACAGCAAATTCTTGACCAAGTTTCTGCTACCTTTTGCGATTTCCCTGAAACTGCACACAAGGAAGTGGGGTATACACAGTAGTTCTTAATTGCTCAATTAGTACTCGATAAACTTCCGTTCTCATGCTATTCTCGGCAAAGTCAAGAACGACGAGATTCAGCGGAGGTGTCAATTATTTGCAGCGATTTGTCTGGATCAACAGCCTCTCAGACATGGATTGTAACACTATGACTATCTATTATGTGTTTAGCCATTCTGATTCCTAGTAATTCGTCTAAGAGAAGCAGAAAGCCGTATGGCATTTTTATACAACACAACTGATGAAAGTGTTGCAGAAATGTTACTTATATCGCACATATGTAGCACATATTCTTTTGTGACCTTTATACCTGCGTAAATGAAGCGCACAACAATTGCTTGCTAAAATGAGGAACTTAAATGCCTTCCCTTTAAACGAATAACAAACTTCAAAAAATAGCATTGGCTTACCTATGTAAGCCCCTCCGGTATGTTATGTACCTCATAACTTTAAGGGTTGCGGGCGAGAGGGGTGCCGATAAGCTCTGATTATACAACTCTCGAGCTTTTCAAAAGAAATCAGCTCTTTCCAGTGAATCTTGGGAAGCCTCGCAGCTAAATACTTTTCCACGTAAGGTTTTTCGAATGAAAAAATAAGTTACGTTTTCGGAGCAGAAAAGTGAGAATGAAGCAGAAATAAGTGGCATGCTTGAGGAGGTTAAGCCAAGAGCAGTTCAAGCTTACGATAAAACTTGCAACTTACTCAAAGTGAGTAAACTCAAATAATTTGCAGAGACATCCGCTAGCTATAATAAAAAATTATTTCACCCATTTTCCGGTTTTGTAATAAAACGGTGGTCTAAAAAAACGTTGTGGCACTTTCTCGTCAAAATAAAAATTAAAGCAGGTATTTGAAGTGAAAGAGCATAGAAATAAATTCAGTGGATTAACAAAAGTTTCACAGCCACCAAAATCATAGCATTTCCTACACAGTAATTCAATGAGCAAATTATGTATCAATCAATATTCAAATAATAGGATAAGAAGTTGGCAAAGAATTCAAGTCAACGAAAGTACCGAAAAGTACTCTTACCAGCCTTGAAATTTCATCCATACCCACTAATGTCTCGCTCCACTTTGTTCAGATAGGCTGCTCCTTCATTTGCATGAATGTAAGCGAATGCTCTGAAATCAATAAAAAGGTAAATCAGGTAAATCTGCTAAGATCCTGCGAAACCACTGCTAAAAACGGAGTCGAAAAGCTTTTTTTTTCAAATTTTAAGCTCGCGTAATGCAAATTACAGAATGGGAAGGGCCGCACAAAGCAATTCTACACATTTTTTGAAACATAATTTGAATTTGGTATGATTGTTTGAAAAGCTCGCTAGCCGCGAGGGATAATGCGTTAAAGTTGGCGGATGCGTATGTGTTTTTAGGTCGAAGAGTAGTAGTAAACAAGCCGCGAGTAGAATTGAAGCTAGATGTCAAGAGATAATGACTCATTTACGTCATTATGTAGAGAGAGATTATACGAAAATGTCTAGCGAAAATGAATGAAATGATGATTGTAGAAACATCAATAGAGTGATGTGATAAAACTATACGGCGATGATGGATAAGGAAAAGCTAAAGAGCTACATACAGTACGATTATTCCGAAAGAAATACCCTTTAGCAGAAACGCTTGAAAGAAAAGAATAATGTGTGTATAGAAAGATGATTTTGAGTTTCAATGCTTTCAAAAAAAAGTCTTGCTAAATGTGATTAAAAAGTCTCAAAAGCTGCTCAATTGGCAACTCCTCTAATCATTCGTCGGTGAGGATTTCAACTCTGAGCCCTCGCCCATTACCGTACCCATGGCAAAGAAGCTTTTCTTCTCTTGAGAGCACGGTCTGGGTGAGTTCAGGGTAAAATTAGTGCGTCTTAAGCACTAGCTCGGTCAAACTCAATGTTTTCCATATGGAAAGTCCAGGACTCAAATTCTTGGTCACCGCCATGAACCAGATAAGTGCACAAAACCTTACTAAAAATGCATTAATTATTTCTTTGTTTTGAGTACCACACATCAACATTTCCCCAGTCATTCAAAGTACCAATTTTTGTTAGAATCTCTGTGCACCATTATAGCAAATAGCTATGATATCAAGATCAGTGAAACTAGCAATACTCTGAATCTGAACAAAAAAACTACTCGTCTTAGTAAAACATATGAAAACGGTGCTAAATGTGAGGTGTTTACATTCAAAACATGACTGATATTGACGTTCTCCCTAGAGAAGTGAAGGAGAGCTAGTTTATGCGATGATTTTCAAAATGAACAAGAAATCTCGACAACTGCTTGAATTCGCTTTCTCGTAAAGAATGAAGCCGATCCACTCTTGCTTGAAAGGAAATAACATAAGATTTTGTGGAAGTAGTCAGCTAATTTGCCGATCATCTCGTTTCAGAAGCACTGTGCTACTTTTAAATGATCGTTAACTGAAAACAGGAAATTGAAGCGATTGCCTCAAAGCGAGTTTCAGAAGTCTCATGACAGTTAATGAACACGCATCATAATACCATAAATATGGACAAGAGTGAAGTTGTTTATCCAATGTGTTAACATTAATGGCTCTTTCTCAAAAAAAGTTCAGTACGTCATACTCCAAAATACTATTGTTTCGATCGATAAAGCTAATTTTGTATCCACTCATATTCAACGGCAAGCCTGAAAACATTAATATAACCAAGAATTCGCTACTCTTAAGTTATCCGGACCTATTTTTTCAGGAAGAAATATTGCTTTTTCCTTATACCACATTTGCTAAAAACTTTACAGGATGAAGAGTCAGCCTGCTCCCACGTATCAGTAAAATTGACATGTTATCTACATATTTAACAGGAGTTAAATCTTTTTTCATTCAAATTGACCCTATTTTTGGTCAAAAGTTTCATGATTGAGCTTTTATTATGAAAATAACATTCTGTATTCAATAAACACATCGTTTTTCCTAAAACAGAGAAGTGGGCTATTGTTCTGTCAAACCGATGAAACAATCGGCAACCAGGTACTTCTAGCCATTATTCATCTTCTTTCCCAGCTAAATTCGCATGGCGAAAACAATGTGAAGAGAAGGATTTCTTCGAATTATTGCTGAAGGCTATCAAGAGTTTTAATAAACGCTCAAAGTTGTTTTGCGCTTTAAAAGACCCTGAACAGCTTTCGAGTCATTTCAAATGCTCTTGTACCTTACCGGAAATGATTTTGAGAAAAACCTGTCAAACTGGTCCCAATCTTAAGATTATTTCTGACACCTGGCAAGGAGACAGCCCTCAGAAGATCCATGAAAAAATTCAAGTTGAAGCACGAGTGTTCGATTGATTCGCAAGTCCGTTTTCAAGGACTATTTGTTAGCATGCTAAAGCGTATTTATAAAAAGAATTAAAACCTTTCCCATGGTATTAGGGGATCCTTCCTTGTCCAGAAAACAACCGGCCAAAGATTTTTGTACTCTTAGGAACAAAGCTTGATGCAAGAATCTCAAAGCTCAAAAAACTGAAGTTTTGAAGATATCGCGGTGGAAAGAACGACTAGCTGCTGCTCGGTTACCAAAATGAAGAAATCAAAAAAGGTCTTATTTACTTTTCGTTTATGCATTTCGCTAAAAATTGTAAGTTCATCTCACTCCCGTAAACAAAGGGATTTTGCACGGCGAAAAATTGAAATTTTTCAAAGTCTTTCCAGGAACTTGTTGCATTTTGAAAATGATACACGAATGGTGGTTTTTCTACTCATTGTCAGTAGCTTCGTACGAAGTAGTGCCCTAAAAGGTGGCCTAAAATTCCTGAGACACTATATCCAAAGCTTAAATATGGCTTTTCTAACTATATTTTCATTATGTCGTTGTCGCAAACGGAAGGGTGACAAATAGTCTCTAAGCAGCTCTCACCACAATAAAAATTTTTTGAAGCACCTGATTTTTTGCCAAATTATTTGCTTATTTTCACTGCGACCTATGGAGAGTTCTGCTCTGTAAAAACTGATAAAATGAAAAATAGTTAGCAAAATAATTCTAAACTAAAAAACAAGTGGCTACTATTCTACAAAACACCAATTTGACACCGCCACACTAATTTTGGCTGTTAAAAGCTGTTATAATATGAATTCATGTGGAATTTTAAAAATTGCGCGGATCATCTCTGTTTGTGGCGAAACGGCTGGATTAGAAATTCATTGAGCATTTTCAGAACTGCTTCATAAATAAAAACTAAATAATATACAAAAGAAAAAAATTTGGTGAGAAAAATTAAGCATTGACACAACAAGATATTAGATTTACCAAAACAAGCGTTTATATGGACTAGAAATGGAGAAAGCGATTTTGCTACATTTATGATAAAGCAATAGGAGATTCGTATGACACAAAAAGGTATGAAAGCTCATGACGAAGACACGAGATTTCCGTCAATTACAGGCAATTTATCCTTGTGTTATTACTTGCAAGCACAAAAACACATATTAAATGACGAATATCTTTTGTCTTGCTGTGCAAAATGGTGATGACTGCAACCTACTGAAGCTCTTAGAATTTGGTGAGTCATTCTTTCAAGGAAAAAAAGAAATGAACAGGGATGTAATAATCAGTTTCCATCTAAGGCAGAGGGGGGGGAGACGAAATCGAGACAGAATATGGTGTCTTTAAAAAAATATTTTTGTATCTTACACCTGAATCACATGAAAAGTTTCATTTTCAGCATCCACAGATCAAAACAAGATTCAATGGTGGTCTGGAGCCCAGACTACATAGTGCGTCAAATTTATTCGCGTCAAGTGGTTCGCAAAGTGGTTACTATATTTGCAAAAGAAGGATTTTTGCATTAATGCTATTGAAGAGCGTAAAGAATCAAATTACTTTCCGTAGCTAAAATCAGAACATTCTAAAGACATTTTATGTTCATTCAAAGTGCAGGAAAAGCTTTGTGCTATCACTTCCTAGGTCGTATCTGCCAAAAATGATTCTTTCAGAGATGGCGGGAAAAGTTCGCACTGTATGTTAGTGACCCTTTCGTCTTTGAAGTAAATTGTAAGCTATAGAAAAGTAGCTGTCACTGGATTAGAGGCTATTCTGCATCCACACTACCACTAAAAAAATGAACAATTTAGAGTCAGAAATTTAGAGAGAGAGAGAGTTTTGCTTTTCGTTCTAGCGTTTGTACTCCTGATTTGTACAACATTTCAGCAAGTAGGGTATCCACGCCTTCAGTTGAACGTCTATAATGCTTGCAGTGTGTAGCCGGAAACTCGATCCATCGGCTGTTTTTTTCGCACGACAAAAATTCTTTTGGAGAAGGACAACCGCTTTCTGATGCCACACCTGTAGGTTGCGCACAATTTCGTCGGTGGCAGAACTTTGTGGTTTTACTGAAGCCACAGCTAGTAATTTCAACTTATACTACTGAATGAGGAAATGAGTAGTATTTACTTTGTAGCTTTCTAGCTATCGCTGAGCCCGTTTTGCATGAATTTGATATTGCAAAACACACACGCAAATAATTGCGCGCCCTCTGTATCACTGAGGAAGCTTCGAGATATTTCTATGCATTCGTGTCGATAATAGCTACAGAGAAATGATCAATTTGAGAAAGATTGGATAAAGAAGGAAAGAAAGAGGAATTCCTTTCTATTCACATATATTCAAAAGAGTAGAAATACGTTTGCCAATGTTTACTTTTTAAAGACACGTGAGGCTAATCTTCCACTGGTTTGCAGCATAAAAAAAGTGAGACTCAAAGATAAATCCACAAGTTTACGCTCTACTCGAAAATAGTAGTAGCATTTTAGTAAAATTACAAATGCAAGCCACGAAAACCGCACTAGAACGTAAGAGGAAACACTTAGAGGCTGAATATTTTGAAAGTTTGACTGCGCACTGGCATTTTGATAAGTGAAACCAGTTTAACAAAACATTTCAATAACTAATAGATTAGTCCCCTGCTATTTTTCTTATTATTTATTATAAATCAGATGAAGAACACCGATTTTCTTGGAAGTTTAAAAAGCGTAGTTTTGCTTTGTCTAATTCTCATCAAAACTTTGAAGCATTCGCTGTTAGGCATAAAGTTTATGTCTGAAAGAAGTCAGCAAAGTTGAAATCAAACGTATCTTTTTCATCCAGC